CTGAAATCATTCTTACTCCGGTCAGTAGAAAGTACCCCTAACATGGACACACTGTATCATTGCAAGGAAGGATTCGAATGTACCGAATATGACGCCATCTGTCTGCAAGCGAGTGCAACACGTCCGCCAAGTTGCGGCTCCACATCGCTTTGTGGGCAATGCACAGCACAACGCAATGCTTTATTTGCCTGCCTGAGTCGCACTACCTTCCAGATGTGCTATGGCGGCCTACATCCCACCGGTCAGGTGGGCTATTGTCCCACCGGATTTGTTTGTGATGCAACCAGTGATGTGGTTTGTGTGAGTACCGCTAGTTCGTACACTGTCACCTGCGATGTCGTGGATTCTTCGACTACGACGACTTCTTCAACTTCAACAAGTTCGAGTACAAGTACTACGACTACAACAACCTTGAGCCCAACTACAGACAATCCATTAACGCCGAATGCAGTTTGTGCGCAAGAAAGCTTTGCTGGTCTCTATCCGACAGTGCCTAGTGATCCATACTGTAAAAGGTAAAGTTTTGGGGTAGTATTTAGAAAGGCTTCACATATTTATAATTGCTTATGCGTACATATATATGTACGTTGCATCTCTTGCAGATACGTTCACTGTCGTCTCGTTAATGGTGTTTTGACCGGCATCGAATATTCGTGTACGACGAACACTTACTATAGCATAGAAAATCGAGTGTGTACCATCTACAAGCCAACTTACTGTCTCTGAATATTACATATGCAAATAAACTGAGTTCTCAAACTTTGTATGGGTCAAGAAAATATATTTTTGAAATACTAGATCGCAAAAGCAAATAGGATTACAAACACTAATACAGTTGCGAAATGAAAAGAGCACTGCCGTAAGCGAACATCGATAAAAAGAGCGAATGCGGCAGGTGTCACCGTAACGATGAAGCTAATAAATAACAGTGATTATGATAACAATTCCGACAAAGATGTTAATAGCACTGCCGTTAATTTTAACGATAAATAAATACAACGCTAGCATTATATTTAGGCACTCTATTAGTGAGCGCTAATTACAGTATCGGTCATATCTATAGCACGCCATTTCAAAGTGATATTGTGTGCCACTTATGCTTATTTATTTATTTTTAAGAATTTTCAATTAAAATATAGTTCTTTCTCTAACAAACCCCATATAAACTCAAGTTTAACAATTTGTAGAAAACTTAAAAAAATGGCAACAAATTTTCACCTAAGTTTCAAACTCTTTTCTCGGAAGTATTAGAATTTTTTTGAGTACACAGTTTTTTAGCCACTGCAATTTTAGTCTGATAATGTGCAAATTTCAAGTGGCTACGAATTACCGTTAATTTTTTAGAATTTTTTTTTTTGTCGCATTGGCTTTCATATAATGAATAAACTTAATTTATTTGTATATGGATGAAAACCGCAACACCTTTGGCGAAAAAAATTCTAAAAAATCAACGGTAACTTTCAGTCACTTGAAAATTGCACATTATCAGACTAAAATTGATTGGGCTTTAAAACTGTGTATTCAGAAAAATTCAAACACTTCCGAGAAAAAAGTTTGAAGTTTAGGTGAAAATTTGTTGCACTTTTTCGAAGTTTTCTACAAATTGTTATACTTGGGTTTATATCGGGTTTGTTAGAGAAAGAACTGTACTTTAATTAAAAATTCTCAAAAATAAATAAATAAACATAAGTTGCACACAATATCACTTTGAAATGGCGTGCTATAGATATGACCGATACTGTATGCACACTCACAGATTTTTAGCATAATGATGTACACACATTCCCTAAGGAAACGTTTTTAACGGCCCAAAAACCCAGATCTGTTTATTTTTTTTTAGAATTTACTTTAGAAAACTTTACATTTCTATTTGGCTGTCATCGCAATCAAAATTCAAACAAGACTCCTTAGCGATACGACGTCCGAACGGTGCCGATGCAACGTGTTGGTACACTGGGTGTACAGAGTCGTGAGGTTTCATTAAAATATGTGCGACCAGGACACCAGTAAATCATTCCACTCCAGACGCTGTTGATTGAAGAGCACTCGACGTATCTTGAAAAGAATTAAGACGATTTGTTAAGGCAAGTAAATATATGGATGATCCTCTGCAATAACGACACAACTCAAAATTTCTCAGTAAAGCCAATTAAAGATTTTGTGTTTCGTAATTTAGCAATAATATGTCTTAGAACGTAATTGTTTTGAATTATTTGCAGTCATTCTGCAGAGAAGATTATTTGTAGCCTTCAAATTATGACTTTTTTTAAGATTTAGTAAGGAATGGAGACTGAAAAAGTACGAAATAAGGAACAACTCCTAAGTAGTTAAACGTAAATAACTCCACTGGTATTGCTCAACAACAGCACAAAACGAAAAGTGTCGTTGTTTCCCATACAAAATTATGATGCTACGGAGTTTTCCCTTGGTATGCATATTATTATTCTACATTGCACTGCATTTTTTGAATAATTTTTTGAATTAATCATATTTTCAAGCTAAAAATTTCTTTAAAATAAATCCTGACGTCGAGAAACTAAAAACTCAGTTTTACTATATTTGACCCTTAGTTTCATGAGTTCACTGATTAGTTCGCGTGTTTCGAAATTTTTTTTTGTTTTTGTCGCCCAGTGTTATAGAACAGAGTTAATATGAAAGCAATGTACTAACTGTCTACAGGTGGTTGTAAGATCATCGCCAACCGGAAAGCGACCTGTTTGTTGAACCGATTTGCAGTATTCAACCGAGTTTGTTACTGGCGTAGTTGGTTCCACCACAGTGGGGCAAGAAGGTTGATTCTGAAACATTGAAAATTCTTAAAAGCAACTCTATAAGCTATTTAAATAAAAAAAAATATGTTTAGTTCTACCTTAAAATATTTCAAAACTATCCCGACATCTCATTGCACTTACCGTCGCACTTGCATTGGCGCAGATGGCCGCATTTCCACGATTGCAAACCTCGTATTCCTTACATGAGCCACCCGAATCACTAACTGTTGTTGTGCCCCGACACAAGGCGTAGGTGCGAACGCCAGTGCAGGCGAACGTATTGGTAGTATCGCAGGTGTTACATTCGGAACAGGCAGGCACGATGCCTATACCATCACTGGGCTGACAAATGGCTGCGGTTGCTGTGGAACAAACAAATCCTGTCAGACAACTTGTCGCCTCTCCACTTGGTATGCCTTGCAGGTCGCACTGTTTGAATTGGGTATTGGAAACGCACGCCAGGTTATTGGTGGTAGAACACACATTACAGACCGCCAAAGTCGTAATCGGGCAATTGACAGCGATTAGGAGCACGCTCAACAAAAGCTAGATCAAACGTATGTAGGTATTAATGGGCTACAGGTGCAGGTGGGAACCAAAATTTGCGCTTACCTGCCACGTAATAAATGCGGACATAATGGAATTTTATTATAACTTATTCCTTTAATATAATATATTGAAGAATACTCGGCTTTTATTATCGAAGTATACTACAAGTTCTTCCGTTCGAATAACATTGAGCTTCATTTGCAACTAAAAATGCAAAACAATTATTGCCTCGATTTAAACTATCCGCTACTAGCTCTCGGCTTTCTTATCGGTGCATCTAATGCAGTTGCAACGTAATCCACGTCTATAAACTAACTGTTTTCTATGAAAGCAAATATTTAATATCTAATAAATAGTATTTAATCTGTAGTCGCTCGCCACAACATTTGCGTATAACCCATTTTGTTCTACGTGAAAATACACATATTTACATACATACTACAAATGTATAAATAAATAAATATATTTGAAGGTCTTCGTTAAGCTCATCACATACACGTTATTGCAGCCGTTTCTTCCTTGATGTTCTAGCAGAAAGATTGCGTACTTATAACCGATTAATTACAGTCGACCGCCGACCAATTCATGCACCAAATTCCTAAAGTTGAGTGATCCTCAGTTAGATGTTATAAATTCATCGGTTCTTAAAACTCGAATGTTTAGTACTTTTTTGAGTCGCAGCAAATTTAAATTATTACAATGAAGAAATGAGGTTATTTTTCGGTAAAGGAGGAAAATATAGTGTTCTCGCTTATAGAGTACACATATGAGCAGGCATGGGCAGAGAGTTAGCAGGTGCTAAAAGAGCGTAAAGGGCCGTTTTCATTTGGATGTCATTTTATTGACCGTGCGTGGTGATATATGACAACAAACGCAAATGACACCAGATGACAACCCGTTTTCATTATTTTGACAACATTTGGCGTCAAATATGACCTAATGAAAACCAGGCTTAAGCGTCGCGTCTACGTATACAAGCGAGAGCGCAGCGATGAGAACACGACAACATGCAAAATGAATTAGGCACACTAACACATTCTCACTTTTAGCTCACGCTTGTTTGTGGTAGTGCCTACCTCTGCATATGAGCAACTATGAGCAACATAATATATGTATGTATAACCCATTGCACTGCGGACTAAATGCCTGTTTTTTTGCCAAAAATAACATTTTACATGTGTTAACATGTCATTAGTAAAACATAAGAAAGGTAAATTTTGTTTTTGTAAAAGGCCATAAGTTGGTATGGAGACTAAAGCTACGTGCAAGTAAAGATGTATGTCTTAAATTTTACCTTTACATAAGCCTAGCAAATTTTGGCTAGGTTTGGCTAAGATACAGTTATTAAAAAACAAAACTATTATATCTTTTGAGCTTATTATGTCGCCATATTTTGTGCTACTATTTTATTTCTGAAAAAAGTGAACTATTTACCTTTTGATAAAGAGAGGAAACAGAAGACTGTTTACAATTTTGCTTTTGTAAAGGTTGCTCCCTAAAACTTTGCAGTAGGCAAATTAAGAAATTCAGACTTTAAATAGAAATTAGCATAAATTGGATACAGTTTTTAAAAATTACACTTTATAATTTGGTTTTTTTAACTAAGTAAGTGGTATTTTTTTTTTTGTTCTTCTTTAAACTGCAAGTAATGATGTGATATCTTCAATTTTTACAACGATCTGAGGAATATACTATACATACA